CAAAAAAGGGCACAATAATTTGATAATGCGCCTGTCATCTATAAAGCCATCTATTTACAAACATGGGAAGTGCGCACTTTGCTAGCTAATGAATCGAGGCTACCATTGGTTGACATATATAGTAAGCACGCAAAGTAGTCACTTGCTAGTTGCTACGACGAACATGCTGCATACTACTAAGTGGGAATCGACGTGTTTGCAACAGAAACTTATATCCGCCCTCCTGTTCTGCAAGTGCGCTACATACCGCTAATAGCCGCCGGCCGCCGTTTCTCCGACGAAACTAACGGTTTCTCTTACCCCAAAGAATTCGAGCAAGAGAATGGGTCGGCCACTCGTGCGCATACGACTAGCTGAATGCAGCGCATCTAGTTTGCCCTCGGAACCAGACGCCGAGAAATCACCTTGATCGATCGTGAGTAGCCCACTTTGACATGACCAGATAAAATCACCCAGTGATAAATTCAGAGTCGGTATTACTCTTTCAACTCTCCTTTTGGAGTACTCCACGTTGAATAGGTTGCCAGTATCTTGGAATCAACCTGAAATCAAGACTTTTCACATGTAGTTTGGGGCCAAACTGCATGGAAAACTCTCGATTTCAGGTTGATTGCTCCCGCAAAACCACGTTGAATAGATTGCTAGTACAATAGAACAGGCTAACGGGCAATAATACTACTTTTTTTTTGAACTGGCAATAATACTACTACTAGTAGTAGCCCACTACGTGATCCAACTTAACTTTCCCTTAATTCACTCCACCTCCCGCCTGATTTTCATGAGGTGGGTTCCCCTTCCCCGTTATTTCCAATCATAACTTGACAAGTGGCTAATTATGTAAAGATTTACGTTAATTTTCACTAGAAGAACGCCCATGCGTTACAACGGGGCCACATTAAGTTTAAAAGTTCAATATCAATTATGTTAATATTACATTTAATATTCTCATATATATTAAGTGACATTGACGACCTTTTTTACCATCAAATTATCACACACACACCCTCTCCCTCCCTCTTCCTCACTCTCTCTCCCCTTCTCCCTCACTCAGGAGGTGGGACGAAAATAAACCCGGAACGGAGACTACCAACTGAGACATTAGGAGTAGAGATCATTTAGTTGACAAGAATAAATAGAAAACGGTGTTAAAAAAGAAACAAATTAGAATACGTTGAAAAACCAAAAGGACAATGTAAAAGGAGATTCGCCCTGCCCCCCGGACCTTGCCACAGAACCGGCTCAGCGGTCCAGTCCTCGCGCGGTCGTCTTCTCCTGTTCCCCGAGCCGCGTCGCTACAGAGTCGGGCTCCCGCCCGACCAACTCACTGGCATCAAAGGGGAATGGATAAGGGTGACGCTCTTCCTTCCCTGCCCCCATGACCTCACTCCTCCTCGACGCCCCCTCCCAAATCCACTTCTATTCCTCGCTCGCTCGATCCCGTCAATCTGGACGAAGTTAGACGCCACGGCCACCATGACCGACCCCGTCCACATGGCCACTGCCCTCCCTGCGGGCTAGGAGCTTGTCGAGGAGCTCCGAACGCCTTCGCTACTTCGTCTACGCTAACGAGATCAAATCCAGCACCCCCGCATCAACGTCACTGCCGTCTTCCTAAACCTTGGGCCACCGTGACATTGTCGTTCGATCCGCGCCGCCCCGAGCTCCCATGTCTTCCCCTAGGGCGCCATTGACACCGCCATGATCTCCTCTTGCCTTTCCCCTGTTTCCCCTCTCGTTTGCTCTCGTTAGGTATTTCGCCGTGGCCGAGAACCGCCGTACGCCATGGCCATTGCAGGGGTAGCCACCGAGCTCCTCGGATTGACCCCGTGGCATATGCCCGCTCCTATGCACGCCCATGCCCGAGCCTGCCGCTCTTTTTCCGCGCTCGAGGGGCCACTCCCTCTCCATGCCCACGCGTGTGCTACACCGCGTCGGTCGCGCCCGCCGCTGCCGTCGCGCTCGCCGCAGCCACCGCACCACTGTGCCCCGCGCGACACACACCCTGGTCGTGCGCCACACTCTCGCTGGCTGCGCTCGCCCCGTCTGCTGCCGCCGATCCCTTCGCTCGCCCCGCTATTGCGCCCCTGCCTCGCGCCGCCTTCAGTCGTGGCCATCTTCTGTCG